AATAATAATGAAATTAAAGACAAATTGCAATATTTAGTGAACTTAAGATACCAATGACTATAAAAAAGCACTATTTTTTTAATGATCCTCTAAAAAAAGAAAAAAAAAATGCCATTCAAATTATGATAAGTTACCAATTGTTAATGGATTTCAGAAGTGTGAAAAAGGAAAAAGAATTTATTTTTGAATCAATGAAATAAAGTCAAGTAACTAAGGGTGACAAATCAGAAACTGGGAGAATGCTCTGGATTCAAAAAACATTAACATTGGGAACCAGCAGTTAGCGTAATGGCTATGTCGCTGGACTCCCACGTAGTCGACCGCAGTTCGTGTCCCGGACCCGGTGGCTTAAAACTCACGCCGGGCGTGTGTGCGTGCGTGCCCAAGATCCCGAGAGGAGAATGGAGGAGAAGGGATTGCGGCGTGACCATCCCCCCTGGGGGGTGATTTCTCGCTTTCTGTCTCTATGTCTCTGTCTGTCTGGCGAGCGCACGCGCCCTACAGTGAAAATCTCTCTCCAAAAAAAAAAAAAAAAAAAAACATTAACATTCAGTTCAATGAACAATAAAATCATAATTAACTGAAATCAGGACAGTGCTAAAATTTTAGAATATAAATATAAGGCTGTCACATTCCTTCCTTCAGGTGCTTGTAATTGAGAAATTAATGTTAAAAGAGTTGTAGTAATATTAACTATTAAATCACTAAAATATCCAGTGATTTCATTGTTGTGTATTTATCTTTAAACATAATATGAAAGGAACAAACTTTTATGCAAATTGGCAACTGCAATAAAAAAAATGAGAGCAAAATTAAAACTTGGAAATCTAACCATCCAATTTTGATGTCTGCCAAATGAAAAACTATGTAATGATTAAAAGTATAACTTAAAGAATGCAATATTGGGAATAGCTGCTGGCATGGTGATTAAGGTGCTGAACTCCCAGTCAACCCCAGTTGAAGTCCTGGACCTGGCGACTTGCTTTCCTACTCTTTCTGTTTCTTTCTGGTCAAATGAATAATAATAATAACTAAAATGAAATAATTCTTGAAAAAAAAAAAAAAAGGCAGCATCTCCAACCAAATCTCAAACGGGGTAAAAAAAAAAAAAAAGAACTGAACAAAAGGATACATACACACATAGTTCAAGCAAATGAGGCAAGATGTAAACAGCTGGTAAATATAAACAAAGGTACACAGGAGCACCTTTGACTATTCTTGCAACTATGGTCTAAGTTAAAATCGTATCAACATAAAAAGTTACCAAAACAAGCAGACTTGTGAAATAAAAACACAAAAATAAAAGCAATTTAAAAACAGTACTTGCTACAAAGCCAGCCAGTGGTGTAGTAGTTACAACACTGGACTGCCACATGGCCAACAGGGGCCTGAATCCCAGACGCAGTAGCTTGAAACTCACACCAGGTACATGTGCATATGTGCCCAAGATCCTGAGAGGAGAATGGAGGAGAAGGGATTGCGGCGTGGCCATCCCCCCGGGGGGGTGATTTCCTGCTTTCTATCTCTCTGTCTCTCTGTATCTCTGATGAGTACACATGCCCTATACCAAAAAATCTCTCAAAAGATAGCTGGATCATACATGGCTGGCTGTGCAGTTCAAGTCCCAGATCTGGTGACTTGAACAATATGCCAAGCACATATGTGCAGGCCCAAAATCCCAAGAGGAGAGATGGAGAAGGGATGGCAGTGTGGCCATCCCTCTCTCCTTATCTGTCTCTCTCCAGTGAACACACGTGCCCTATAGCAAAAACTTAAAAAAGGAACTGTAGATGCTTTATTTTTGTTGGCATTAATTTGTTTATATTATTAAAAGTACATAAGAGAAAAATATTGACGTGATATCCAGTGATTTAAATTTCTAGTAATAAAATGTACAGATGAGACTAGGGTGTGAAGATACCACAAATATTTACTGTTAGTATCACGAATCAAAAGTTAGTAAGAATATGTGCTGTTAAGTCAATTAGCTTTTGGTTTTTATTAATGATAGTCTTGCCATATAGCAAAATCCTCCTGCCTAGATGAGTCTTATTTAAAAACAGATAACATGCTTAGAGAGTAGTTAATAATTAAAATAAGCCTATCCTGAACCAGCCTAAGGTATGGTAAAGTCAGCTAGACCCCACATGGCTGACTGCATGGTTTGAGTCTCAGACTCAATAGCTTGAAAAACACACCAGGCATGTGTAAATGTGTGCCCCAAATCCCGAAAGGTGAAATGGAGAAGGGACAGTGACACAACCATCTGCCAACTGAGGGGTAGGGTGTTTCTTCACTTTCTCTCTCTCCCTGGTGAATACATATGCCCTCTAACAAAGAAAGAAGTCTATCCAACTATAATGGGCAGTATGGGTATATAGGAATATTATCTAGAATAAGTGTACTCAAAATACCCTACCTTTAATTGGACTTGATAAAAGCAGTCAGCTATTATAGATATGGATTGATAATTTATAGGGCAATGAACAATCAAAGAATAAATCAATACATTACATAGAAACCTACTAAATTTTTTTTTGAGAGGTTTTCGCTATAGGACGCGTACACTCGCCAGAAAGACAGAGAGAGACATAGAGACAGAAAGTTAGAAATCATCCCCCCCAGGGTGATTTCTCTCTTCTCCTCCATTCTCCTCTCAGGATCTTGGGCCCATGTGCCCGGTTTGAGTTTTAAGCCACCGGGTCCGGGACACGAACCGCAGTCAACTACGTGGGAGTCCAGAGACAGCCATTATGCTAACTGCTGGTCCTCCTAAATATATTTTTTAAGAGAGATCTTTGCTATGGGGTGCATGCACTCACCAGAAAAACAGAGAGAGTGAGATATCACCCCCAAGGGGGATTTCTCCTCCCTTCCTTCTCTCCATTCTTCTCTCAGAATTTTGGGCATGCAGACACACATGCCCACCATAAGTTTGAAGCAAGGTGCAGGGTCCAGGACTCGAATCATGGTTGACATGGAAGTCCAGAGATGTAACTATTATGCCAATTGCTGGTCCCCTAGATACTATTTTATTAACACTATAAAATCTTTATATAAAAGTCTTATGCAATCAAATGTCAAATAGTAGAAGGGTCTAACATAGTAGTTAAGCCTTGTGCATTGTGAGTCAGTTCCCACATGGCCAATCATGGACCTAATCCCATGCCCAGCAGCTTGAAAAACATGCTAGGTCCATGTGCATATATGCATCAAATTTGATGGATGCAGAAATAGTGGAAAAGGATTAGAATGTGGCCATGCCCCATGGGGAAATTAAAGGTGTTTGCTTTCTCTCTCTCTCAATCAGGTGAGTGCATGTGCTCTCTGGTAAAACAAAACAAAAAGTATATGCACACAAACATAATATATGCTATGTAATGTGTGTGTGTGTGTGTGTGTGTGTGTGTGTATGTGTATTAGATAAGAAGTTGCTAAAATACCACTGTGAAAAAAATCTAATAAAAATATAAAAATCACTAAGAACAACTTTAGCAGCATATATAGTTAGGTTTCTAATGCTTAATACCATCAGATGAATTTATATCTACTGAAAATGTGAAAGACAGAAAGATGCTATTTGGTCAGAATTCTGTAATTCTAATTCCTAAAATCTGGCACCAGCAGTTGGTGTAATGGCTATGTTGCTGGACTCCCATGTAGTTGACTGCGGTTCAAGTCCCGGATCCGGTGACTTAAACTCACACTGGGTGCGTGTGCATGCATGCCCAAGATCCCAAGATGAGAATGAATAAGAGATTATAGCATGCCCATCCCTCCTGGGGGGTGATTTCTCGCTTCCTGTCTCTCTGTATCTTTCTGGAGAGCGCACACGCCCTATAGCAAAAACCTCTCTCTCAAAAAAAAAAAAAATCCTGAAATCTTTCTGCATTCCATTTCAAGAAGTATACTACCATCCATAAAGTTGCCTAGAAAAATTAGTTTAGAAGACTATGAATTTTTACATTTTGTTATTAATATTCCTTAGTGAGATAGGTATATCAAATATTGCAAAATGGTAAGTCAGAAGGGAAAAACAGATAAATAGTCACAAAGAGAAAAACAGGAACAAAAGTCATCCCAGATCTGAGTTTCTGTAAAATAAATATACATATTCACCCAGAATTTTTAAAAAAACATTTATCTATTTATCTTTTGTGATTTTTAAGCTACCAGGTCCAGGACTCAAACCGTGTTGGCCATGTGGGAATCCAGTACCTTAACCATCAGCCACATGCTGGCCCCACATAGAATTTTTATAGTGAAGAATTTGTATCAAACTTTTAACCCAAATAAAAGCAAAGAAGTGAAATGCACTACAAATAACAAATAATTTGCCCCCATAGAACAGAGAATTGTAAAGAGCTCCCATTTATAATTACTTAATGTGTAAGACAGTTTTAAGTTCTCACTGATGTCAAATTACTTTATATACATATGTCTAAAATATATTATATACATAAACACATTATATATATACACCTTAGTTTTTGCTAACAGGTGTGTGCGCTCACCAGAGAGAGAGTGTGAGAAAGAGAAATCACCACCCAAGGGGATGGCCACACCACAACCCCTTCTCTTCCACTCTACTTGGGATTTTGTGCATGTAAGCACACACACCAATGTGATTTTTCAAACTGGCTAGTCTGGGACTCAAACTGCAAAGCTGGCCATGTGAGATCCAGTACCTTAATCTCCATGCCATCTGCTGGCCACATATACATGTCCACATATGTATATGTGTGTATATATATGTGTGTGTAGATACACACACACACACACACACACACACACACACATATATA